ACAACGGCTAAGTGTTCAGTAAACAGTCACACAAATAAATCATTATGAGTATTAATCATTGACCAAACGGTGGTCACTTCAGAATTCAAAGCTACCAAATAAATTTCTGCCGTGACCGTACGTAATTATTTGAATTATTTGCACATCAGAACTCTCATTTTAGGCAATTTTTTACTTCTGTCCCTTGATTAATTAACAATCATGGATCATCGGGATTGTTCGTGATTTTAAAATTACCCAGGATTTTTGAAATTACCCAGAAACGTCATCATCTGATCAGTCTCATTATTTCTTGCCGTGAACGATGATTTTTGCAATCAAAGTTCTCTAGTCTGTCATTGTCGTTATTATCATCATTATTGATCGAACCAGCAATTACCAACTGGTATCATTTTGGTATTATACGCTCAGCACGACCAGGGTGATACCAAGGAAATTGAATGCATCGTTTTGTAATAATAATAAAATGGCATCGCTATATAATAGTAATAGTGCATCGCTATTTAATAATAAAACTGCATCACTTCATTTATACTCAATAATTCCACTAGTTTATGATTATGACAGGTGAAGGCGTCATAGTGAAATGATTTCAAGTCAATATGGGATGAACACAATAGTTTTCAGCAGAAAATCTCAGCGTTCAATTTAGCGCACAGGTTTTTAATGAGAAAATATGCTTAGAGAGGCGATGTTGTTTTTCTGATTCATAGCAAGTAGTAAGTAATAGCGGTTGCAGCGTTTATTAGGCCGCAGGCCTGCTTCCGAGTATTAACATCGCAGAACGTTCACAGTTTGTTGCGGTCTCGAACACGCAACTCACTATTCGAATTCCGCTGTACTATAAGGGGAACGTTTCGGAGAAAAATACAAAAATTATGGCCTCTCTGGTTTTTAGTCCTATTTTGAAGTTTCAAGATACGCGCATTTAAAACGCCCAAAGTCATGTTTGTGGGTTCATTTGTTCGTTCACGACAGCCTTCGAAGCGCAAGTAAAAACTATGCTCTCAATGATCACATATTTCAGTTTTTTGGCTCTCCTGGAAAGTTTAAAATTTCAACTTAAAAATCTATATTCTCCTATTGTTTTCAAGCTACAACAATAAGAGATATACCATCAAATGATATACCGTAAAAAAATCTTTACAATCCATCCGAAAATTTTTTTATTTCCTTATAGTTTGGACTATATGTTGGAAAAAGAGAGGGAGGCGAAAATTGAAAAATTTCGGCAAGTTCCCTTCTCACTTAAACAAATTGTAAATTGGAAAAAATGATCTGATGGTTGCTAGATATTATCTTTAAAAATCGAATGATATGTCTCTCGAGTTTGTAGCACATGTGACGGAACACAATTTATGTGGATTATTTATTTTTTTGAGAACATTGTTTCGCTTCTGATTTTATTCAAGGGATTTAACTTATGTATGACTAAGTAATGCGTAAACATATTTTTATTTCATGACTGTAATATGGAATCTCGTTTAACTGTGATATTATTTTATTAATTCATATTATTTGGTGTTAGCTTCTTGGAACGAGACTGAATGTTGTAAGCGCCAACGTGATTGGTTGAGCTGCTCCTAGCCTCGCGACGGTGCGCGCTTATTCCTCTAGGTAGTTATGAACGATGAAGAGTTCGGTCACTTTAGAAGTAGTTTAGGATTATTCGACTATTAACTGTGATTAGTTTGACAAATGACTAAAATTATGATGATTTTATTGTATTGTATTATATTATCTATTTTTTTGCACTTAGTGAGTGTTAACCTGTCTGTTTTGTGCTCTTTATAGAAGGGGTGTCGGTTGTCATTGTTTTGGCTGAGTTGCCCCTTGCGGGCGAGTGGAAGTTGTGTGTGCTCAGTGGTCCTGGGTTGGGGCGCACCGGTTTCGACTCCATGTAAGAGATAATCTAGGCTTAAAAGAATAAACTCCACCGTATTTCTGGGCATAACTCTTAATGAGTTCCTCTAACGGACTAATAACGGCGTAGGTGGAGTTCTTGGATAGTTCCAGCTTTTGGCTGCGAAGGGCGGTTAACAGCCATACCACTCGCACCCTCGCGTCGTAGAGTCTAATAACCCCTGCGCTCGAGTAAATTGTCAGCGGCTTATTGGAGGCTCGTACCCTTCTATAGTCGTGCTTATGAGGCGTACCTGCCACCCCGTTCCTGTGAGGTTGTCTGCATCGTGGTGCAACTTGTACCTGTACCCTTGCTACCCGCTTTTACGGTTTTCGACAGTTTATTAGGACTCGTCAACATTGTACCCCTGAAGTTGAGATCCTGTCTCCCAGAGCTTTTGGACTTATAGTGAATAATAAATTGTGTGCCTTGTACAGTAGAATTTGTGTACCGCCTGAAGAAAACCAATATACTAAGATATTGTATACTAATACTAATATACTTAGTATACTAATATACTAAGTCCCCCGTGTTCATTCCTCGTCTCTCCAACACAAGGGAATTTAGAGCCGGACCAAAGAGCGACTCTTTAGCCCTTGTGTTAAAACCAATATGGTAGTCACCGTCAAGTCGGCACGCTACCCATAATTATTTCGACTTCGCGGAGGTGTTTCCGGTTACAAACGTTTAATGAATGAGGAGGTACTGTAAAGGTGTACGGTACTGTAATTTTTACAGTACCCACCCCCATTTCGCCATTTTCTATTAATTTCACGTTTTATTTAATTTATTTCGAAAAAGTTGCCCGAAGAAAAAGGTATTATATTTTTGTTTTACATATGTGTACCAAGGTTCAAAGCCCGTCCGTCGATGAAAATTTTTTTATTATTACCGAAACGGTCGCCTTAAAGGGGCTAAGACGTAACACACGTAGAAAAAGCACTGGGAATATGACAATGTTTTTGTTTAAATGGGTGTTAAAAAATGTTGAGACATACAATATGTAAGAACATCATTGAGAATATGGCAATGTGTTTGTTTGAATAAGTATTAAAAGTGTTAAGAGATAGCACTCGTAAGAATAGCATTGGGAATATGGCAATGTGCTTATATTTAATGGGTTTTATGAGTACCTTGAAAGACAATGACAGTAAAATTTATGTATTTGGGATACCCTTTGCAAGTGGGCTCCACCGGGAATTACAAGGTTGGATTACAACGTGGTAGTTAGCAAAAACCTTAATTTGATTCAGGTTTTTCAATTAAATTTAATTGAATACATTTCTCTTTGTTGCGTATTTCATTCGTACGCAACCACTGTAACACATTTTTGCAGGAGGGGGCAAAACAAGAAGACGTCTATGACAGCGACGTTGGTTGGTGACACACTTGTCACAAGTGCGTCGGTAGCTCTGTTCAGTGCCCACATTGCCCAGAATACGAGTATGTTACGGCTCACCAATCACAATATCAATATTGAATATGAAGAATTTATGTAAGTGATTAGGGTTATAGGAGGGCACTTAACAAAATTTAGATGCGGGCCCAACTCTGAAACTGGTGCCGCCCAGGACTCGGGGAGCGCTCAAATCAACCGCTCATTTCAGCTGCGGCTCTGGGTTTGAAAGACAGCCTCTGGGCAGTTGCAGTCTTTGTATGACTCGGCTTTGGCACACACTTTTCATACTCTCAGGACACATTTTTTGTGCCATAAGGAAACACTTGTCATATTAACTGGACACACTTGTCATACTCTCAGGACACACTTGTCATACTCTCAGGACACACTTGGCATACTCTCAGGACACACTTGTCATACTATCAAGACACACATATCCTACTCTCAGGACACACTTGTCATACTCTCAGGACACACTTGTCATACTCTCAGGACACACTTGTCATACTCTCAGGACACACTTGTCATACTCTCAGGTCACACTTGTCATACTCTCAGGACACACTTGTCATACTCTCAGGACACACTTGTCATACTCTCAGGACACACTTGTCATACTCTCAGTACACACTTGTCACACAATTGTATTACAAAAAGATAAGAGTAGTATAATAGGATAATATTATAATAATAATATATTCAGATTTGTTATCAATAATGTAATAATCAACTTAATTATAGGTATCACTAAATTATTTTCAGCACGTGGCTAAACATATGAAAATTCCTGTTCAATAGAAGGTAATTAAATGATGAAGAATCCTATCATTTAATGGAGAATCCTATTTTATCACATGAAGCATCCTATTTTATTAAATGAAGAACCCTATCCTATTGAATGTCACGAGCTAAACATCCCCGTTGGGAATTGAGGTATTCACATACGAAATTTCGTTCAAATCTGTTCAGTATTTTAGGAGAAATTCTATGCTCACTGTGAATTTGAGCATGTATTGCTGTTTGAATCACGAATGTTGGATAAATGAAAAAAAAAACTCGCAAACGCAGGCAAAATCTAAAAAATTGTCACGAGCTAGACATCACCGTTGGGAGGTTAAGTTTCTATATTCAAAGTTTCGTTTAAATCTGTAAAGTAGTTTAGAATAAATGTCAGGCTCACTGCAAATTTCGGCACGTAGCGTCAAGGAACTCACGAATGAAGGCGAAATTAAAAAAAATCTCCATCTAAACATCACCGTTAGGTCCTAATGAATACGTGTACCAAGTTTCATCGAGCTACGTTTATTACTTTGGAAGCTATTCCACGCTCAATGAATTTGAACACCGGCCGCAAGTCCGGCCGTAAATTTGTCCGAGACGTTGCGATAAGGGCAGTTCTGACTCAATGACTGCGATAGGGTTGGCAACACTAATGCTTATCTAAGAAACTGACACAGGACGCATATCGATGACCTTTGTTAAAAATAATCATTCTGTTTTGTGTTCACATCACTTCGGACAGATCTTTGTAGAGAAATATTAGTGATGACTGATGACCTATCCTTACTTCAGCTACACATACACAAATGCATATCATTGTTGGCCCAACGATAAATAATAGGTTTTAATCAGCCAAAAATGTCCGCATTACTGAACGCAGCAGAGACATTTTTTTAAGGTTGCAATGGACCGCAAGATTACAGCTCCAGGCGGTCAGTGCCCCGCGTGCGGTCGTCAAGGTAGGTTGTTACGTTACATTGCTCGGCTATTCGTCTTCTATATACTAGCCTACGTGTGTTTGTGTGCCTAATATCAAGCGTGTTTGTCAGATAACCTGTGTTGTGAAAGTAATAACTGTCGTGTTAGTCCATTACCGTATCTATGTGTAAAAATTTCTCGCACATTTTGCCTATTATTTTACGTGTTTATATAGATAGCAGGTCACCTACAAGGGCGAATCGAAAGAACTGAAATGGATAGTTAGTAAGAGCAAGCATAGGATATGTATCGCAGGATTTATATCTATCTAGCAGGTCTTGAAACAGGTTGTATAGCAGTAGCAGGTCATAGAGCAGGTTATATAGCTGTAACAAGTGTAACATGTTACATGACAGGCCATAAAGCAGGTTATATAGCAGTAGCAGGTCATGGAGCAGGTTGTATATCAGAAGCAGGTCATAAAGCAGGTTATATAGCAGTAGCAGGTCATAGAGCAGGATGTATATCAGAAGCAGGTCATAGAGCAGGATGTATATCAGAAGCAGGTCATAGAGCAGGATGTATATCAGAAGCAGGTCATAGAGCAGGATGTATATCAGAAGCATTCATAAAGTTGTTTGTATATCAGAAGCAGGTCATAAAGCAGGATGTATATCAGTAGCAGGTCATAAAGCAGGTTGTATATCAGTAGCAGGTCATATAGCAGGTTGTATATCAGTAGCAGGTCATAAAGCTGTTTGTATATCAGAAGCAGGTCATAGAGCAGGATGTATATCAGTAGCAGGTCATAAAGCAGGTTGTAAATCAGAAGCAGGTCATAAAGCAGGTTGTATATCAGTAGCAGGTCATAAAGCAGGTTGTATATCAGTAGCAGGTCATAAAGCAGGTTGTATATCAGTAGCAGATCATAAAGCAGGTTGTATATCAGTAGCAGGTCATAAAGCAGGTTATATAGCAGCCGCAGGTCATGGAGCAGGATATATATAAATAGCAGGTCATAGAGCAGGATATATGTCAGTAGCAGGTCATAATGCAGGTTATATATCAGTAGCAGGTTAAATGACAGGTCATAAAGCAGGTTATATAGCAACAAGCTTGTGGGTGACGAAAACTGTTTAGTTTGGTGGTGAGTTTCATTTAGGGGTCACTGGAGGTGAGTCCAACTTGATGGTTCTCTGGAGGCGAGTCCAACTTGATGGGTCACTGGAGGTGAGTCCAACTTGATGGGTCCCTGTAGGCGAGTCCAACTTGATGAGTCTCTGGAGGCGAGTCCAACTTGATGGGTCACTGGAGGTGAGTCCAATTTGATGGGTCCCTGTATAGGCGAGTCCAACTTGATGGGTCCCTGGAGACGAGTCCAACTTGATGGGTCCCTGTAGGCGAGTCCAACTTGATGGGTCCCTGGAGGCGAGTCCAACTTGATGGGTCCCTGTAGGCGAGTCCAACTTGTTGGGGCCATGGAGGCGAGTCCAACTTGATGGGTCCCTGTAGGCGAGTCCAACTTGATGGGTCACTGGAGGTGAGTCCAATTTGATATGTCACTGGAGGTGAGTCCAACTTTAGGGGTCACTGATGGTGAGTAACCTTTGGGTCAATGATGACCAGAAAAATATTCGAGACCAAATTGGTTCATATCGTCAGGTTGAACATGAAGCTGAGCAACGGGGCTGTGGTGACCCCAGTGACTGGGGAGGAGGCCGAGGACTTGCTCAAGAACTTCCCCGGGTACGTGGACGGGCTGGTGAGGGCGGGGCCCTCGCGCTGCCTCCTCCCCACCGCCTACAACCGCTTTGCTGAGGAATACATTAACTTCAAGGTGCTTAGGGTTGGGGCTTGAGATTAGCATAAGATAAGCACTAATCACGCCTCAATTTCAGAATGATTAGAGGCGGGACTTAAGGTTAAGATAAGCAACAGTCGTGCCTCAACTTCAAGATGATTAGAAGCTGGGCTTGAGTTTAGGATAAGCAACAGTCGGGCCTCAACTTCAAGATGGTTAGAAGCCGGGCTTGAGTTTAGGAAAAGCAACAGTCGGGCCTCAACTTCAAGATGATTAGAAGCCGGGCTTGAGTTTAGGATAAGCAACAGTCGGGCCTCAACTACAAGATGGTTAGAAGCCGGGCTTGAGTTTAGGATAAGCAACAGGCGGGCCTCAACTTCAAGATGAATAGAAGCTGGGCTTGAGTTTAGGATAAGCAACAGTCGGGCCTCAACTACAAGATGGTTAGAAGCCGGGCTTGAGTTTAGGATAAGCAACAGTCGGGCCTCAACTTCAAGATGATTAGATGCCGGGCTTGAGTTTAGGATAATCAACAGTCAGGCCTCAACTTCAAGATAATTAGAAGCCGGGCTTGAGTTTAGGATAAGCAACAGTCGGGCCTCAACTTCAAGATGATTAGAAGCCGGGCTTGAGTTTTGGGTAAGCAACAGTCGTGCCTCAACTTCAAGATGATTAGAAGCTGGGATTAAGGTTAGGATAAGCAACAGCCACGCCTTAGCTTCAAGGTGCTTCGGGCTCAGGGGGGCTTTTAAGGTTAGGATGACCACAAATCGGGTTAGACTTCAGGGTGCCTAAAGGGTTATAGTGCAGAATTGCCAACACGTAAGGGTTAACAATCCATTTATTTCTCAATACTGAATTTGAAGCATGTCGTTTGTGGTAATGGGAGTTTTTTTGTACAAGAGCGTTGAGATTGCGTATATTTAAGATTTAAATTAGAGTTTTACCACTTTATCATATACATTAGTTCTTACGCCGTCCCCGTATCACAGTTCCGCAGCAGTGACGTCGTGATCGTGACCTACGCCAAATGCGGCACCACGTGGATGCAGGAGATCCTCTGGACCATGTGCCACAACCCCGACCTTGACAACCCTGATGCCGACCTCGACCTCTCCATACGGTCACCCTTTCTCGAGTAATTAATTGCAGCATAAAGTGCGTTCGACTTTTTCCAAGGATTTAGTTGAGCTTTTTTGTCTACGTGATGATGATAGTGTTAATTGCGTACGCTCTAGAAAGGATTAATCGGAATAGTACTGTTCAATATTTAATCTAGGTTTCTCTGTGTAGTGGAAAATTTGCTGATTACTATCCCTCCTAGGTTCGTCCAGAGATTCCACAAAAATTAACCATGTCTTGATTGAAAAAGTTTGAGTCCAGTTTCATGCAGCACCTCCAAAACGTTTCCATTGGAGATATTGTGAAATTTTGTGTAATTTTCCCCGCATCTAAATTTTTAGTGACTTTCCCTTCAAGCAGTCGAGTGCCACTAATACGTGTATACTGTTTCTAGGTTCGACTGTATGGTGGACGTGTTGACAAAGAAAAATGGTCACAACTCGACGCTGGTGAAGGCGCTGCAGAAGCGAGACCCCGCTGCTTCCCCAGATGCCGGGGTGTTCTTGGGGCTCACGAAAGTGGCCGAAGACCCACGCATAATCAAGACACATCTCCCCTTCAGCATCCTGCCGCTCAACCTGCTGGATACCTGCAAGGTAGAGTGGTCAACTACATGGATAATTTTTGCATGCAAACTAAGCTGCCAGCAGATTTGGATCTTGCCAAGTGTTACCAGTTATTTTGACTTGAGTCTGGTTTGAATGACCATGAGGCTACAATATTCAGGTTTTCATCGCTTATTACGTTCTCTCCCCTTTCATACAACATGTCCTCCCCTCACCCCAAGTTACTCCCTCTCCCTCACACCCCAGGTTGTGTACGTGGCCCGTAACCCCAAGGACGCGCTGTCCTCCTACCTGCACCACCACAGGCTCATCAAGATCCACGACTACCAGGGCACCGACGACCAGTTCGTCGACTACTTCATCAATGGACAGCGTAAGGGAACTATCATGCCCACGTAAGGAATCTACTTTGCTTACACGAGGAAACCGACGTGACAAGAATACTCCTATGTTTCCCTTGTCTATTCCCAAGCTATCGCTTCGTTTCTTTCATAGCTGAAATTTTAAGCAGTGTTTTTGCCGGGCCGGCGCCACGTTCTACTGGCCAGAAGCTATAAGGAAGCATGAAAGGGACAGATATGTCCATTTTTGACTCCTATATATAATAAATGAAATTCAAGCTGTATGTCGGCTGATTGTGACGCCTGACTGTTTGAATCCTGCTTTTAACGTCCTGCTGTACGGCTAGTATGGCCGACTCTGCTCCAAACCTGTTACAAACGTGCTCTAAACCTCTTCTGTTGCTTCAAACGGCGCAGACTCCTGCTCTGAATTTCAACTCGAAATTGCTCATGGTTAGCCATTAAAATCTAAATTACAATTAGTTAAATTACACTCTGCGTCGAATTAATTTACATTTCATTCTACGTCACATTCATTACGATCTCCTGTTCTTTTAAGTTCTGCACGGTGGGTACGCGGACCACCTGGCGGAGGCGTGGCCGCTGCGGGGCCACAAGAATTTGGCCTTCCTCTTCTACGAGGACCTCAAACGCGACCCCGACGCCCAGCTCAAGAACCTCGACGCCTTTTTGGGCACCGGCCTCACCGACCAGCAGCTGGATAACGTGAGTGGGACCACGTGAGTGATGTTCGTGAGTTCATCACTCACGTGATAAACCACGTTGTTCGGACCACGTGAGTGATACTCAGCCGAACCCCGTGAATGCTCCGGCATTCAGCAACTTGTGCGACCGAGTGCCATATGCAGATGTGATTAAGTTTTAATTATAATTTTCCGAAGGCATTCGGTTTAATTGTATTCGTACGGCGTGCAATCATGTTTATGCTATTCGTACGGCGTGCAGGTGAAGAACCGTACGGGTTTCTCTAACATGAAGGCGCGTATGGGCGCCTGCGTGGCTGTGGACGGCGACGCTGTCGAGGGCATGGGAGTGACCGCGCTGTTCAACGCGAAGGCGGCGCAGGAGGGGGGCTTCTACCGCAAAGGTGTCTGCTGCACTCAGAGAAATGAGCGAGACTATGACTTTTATTTTAGATTTTTTCAATAACGATGCACTCTCTGGGTCATCCTGACCCAGTTTGGTCCAGGCAAAGGATCATTCATTTCTTCAAGTGTGTAGAGTTGTTTAACTTTTCATGTACTACGTAGGTAAAAATGTAAAAAAATAATTCAATTTGCAGTTTTCATGATACATGCTGTGGTTTAAGCTGCTAAATTAAGAAGGCTTAAATAATTCATTCGGTGTAAAGATTAAAATTGTAATATTGCAGAATAATTTTGAAATTCTGAATCATTATACGTATTTTAATTTGTGTGGCGATTGAATAATGAAAACCTGCACAAGGGCCTAAAAGTCGTAAGGACAGAGTCTCAGATGTTTATTTTGAGTGTTTTATGGATGTTTTTCATTTCCTCAATCGTAATTATTTTCCAGGAAAGGCTGGGTCATGGAAGGAAGACATTTCCGAGAAAAATCTTGCCAAAATCGATCGCTACATCGCAGAGCAAATCACAGCCAAGATGCCGGACCTGAAATTTTCCTACGAGTAAATCTCAAAGTTGGCGCAGCCGTGGTCCATAAATTTAACTTTTAAATCAGCCTTGGAGCCTACGCCTAGCCTCAGCATGCAATATCTTAATTCAAATGCAGAGGGAAGCCGCAGACTACGCTGGGACACTGTAATCTCTATCAGTGACACACAGCCTGAAGATGATAGCGCCTTAGGTCTTCAGCCAATAAATACCTAAGCCAGCGCAAGACAAGTATGGTATTTTTCCACATCTGCCTTGGCCCACTCTGGCCTAACCTATTCACGAGTAGGTTAAGTACTCTCCACCTTCTTGCAGCCAATGACAGACTCACTTGCAGCACCTCTCGACCTACCCATAGCCTAAGAGGTTATGCTAGGTTCTCTCAAGTTTATTTAGGATGACATGACGTCGGGGCAACATAGTGGGTTAGGCCAGATGCGGTTTTGACCATGCTTAACGTGAGCATGCTCAAGAGGTGGCTGTGAGCTGTATGGATTTAAGCATTGCAATGGTAATTATTGCATTGATGTGAAAATTTTTGCAGTCTCCGTTCCAACGTTGTTAACTCAAATTTTATTGTACTGTTGTAACTGTGCGCTAAGAACTTTCAATTTGGAGTTCGTTTGTGCATATGATTAGTTAGTTTTAATCGTTACTCTCTATTCTACAGTTCCTATTTATAGTATTTCTTACATATCTGATCTCTTCGTAATGAAATTATTTCTCTGTTATGTTCCTACATAAGTACTTGTTGTTTTCAAGTTAATTATTTTCTTTTTATTCACCACATTTTAAACACGGTTCCTATGCTGAAATTTATTCGCATTGCTGTATACAACACGCGGCATCAATAAGTATAGTTCTATTTAAGAAAGAATTTGTGGTCGTTACTATGAAGATTGTAACGGGAATGTTATCAAGCTCGCTTATGCACAAGCATATCCTACAAAACCTCGAGTCTTGTTAATGAAAATTTTTATCGTGGTCATTAAGAATGTATAGTCTACATTAGGTGATTTAGTAATGTGGACATTGAACTGATATGCGATATTGTCGTGTCATTAAACTCCTGAGAACGCTGACTGATCTCTTTCTATCTTTTGTTTGGAAGAGTTAATGTACCAGTTGAAACAATTATTCTGTCTTAAAGACTCCCTTTGATTACATTGACTACAGCTGCCTGAGTCGTAGAATGCAGTGTGCGGTGACCGGTCTATGCCTTGGCCAAGCAGGCTTTGGTGCACACCGGGCCTGCTTTAGGACGCTCTGAGTCTGCTGCTTTGCTTTACTTTTCTGACAGAAATCACTGGCTGGTAGGCCAATTTATCGCCACAAGTCTTAACCTCCACTATAAAGAAATACTCCTGAGAAATAAATTCGTGGGAAATTCACTATCTTGCGCAGACATGCATTTTCAAATTTATATTACAATGCTTAGGGCTTTTATGCTCCTCTAGGCAAATTTGACAAAATATTCAGAATTACTAGAGCCAAAAGATAATGAAGCCAAGCATGAATTTCAACTGAAGCAGATGACTTGTAAATAAAACATAATCTCGCACGTTGTGACCTTTAGAAAGTGCTTTTCAACGTGTCACTGTGATGTCCTCAATAGTGTACTTAGTAGTAATATAGTAAAGTAATGTCTGCGTCGAACGATGGGCTAAGTTTGGCTGGTCAACGTGTAATCACTAATGTCTACTAATAATGTTACCATTTTACAATGAAATTTAGACCAAACGATATTGTGAATCTATTCTTTACCTGCCAATGTCGAAATGAAAAATGCAAAGCAAAAAAATTTATTTTTGAATAGCTACTTGCTGAGTTATGTACTCCCGGACAAATCCAGATTTTATCCTCTGCAAAGTCCGCCAAGCTGTGCGGTCGGGCGGGTGTCGGCCGCTGTGATTTGTATCGCCTGCGTACTGGCTACTGCTGAGTACTGCAGTGCCTAGCTAGCCTACCAGTACCTGGGTAGGCTGGGGCTTGGCTGAGCTATCGCTATTCGCAGGGCTTAGATCAGATAGATCAATTGTATTTTCTATCATTTATCAATGCTGGAACGACAACTCGACTATTGTCCGCTCGCTACAATCTACAAACATCATGAAACATGAAAAACTCAATAAAAACTACATCCTATGATGATGATCCCAAGCTTCGTGCACCAATCACCCAAATCCCAATCAGTATAACCTTTTTATTATCACCATAGTTATTTTAGTTAGACTTAGCACCTGCCTCCTAGGCTCCTAGCTTATGGGATTATGGGAACGTTTGCTGTTTGGAAATTGGAATGAAAACACCATATAAAATTTTGTTATAAAAAATTGCAAAGAAAATGTAAGAATATTTTCTGGAATTTTAATGATTATTTTGCTGTGCAGGCTGGAATTCTAGGATAGTGTGTAAAGTGCTACCTAGCCACTATGCAGAGGGTGGATGCAGCGTCGGCAATATATGGAATATGGATTTTTAAGCCCAAAGCGTCGCCGGCCATTTTAAAGATGCGTTTTCTTCCCTGTACCTCTCCCTTTTTGCCATTACTTCGTGCTTCATATTTTTAACACGTAGTTTACGAGCTACTGAAGAGCAGTTATTTTTAAAATCAAAGTCACTTTTCTTGTTTTTCAGCCTCGCAGAAGAACTGATGTACGAGCTTCGGAGGGATGAATGGAGTTTTTTGCTGAGAACAATAGTAGTTTTAAGATTATTTTATTTATTGACTATTTTTGTTGAATATTATTTACATTTGATAGTTACAAGATTATTTTATGATTCAGTGGTAATTACACGGCGCAGAAACAACAGATGCCCTGCCATGAAGTACCCAGCGCGTGTCGTCTATTATGAACATCAATCAATCGAGGCGCATCAAATACAAGCGACTGCAAATAACTTCTTTAACATGCATCGCTCGATCACTAATGGCTATGGACATGTAAAATAATTCACTTTGATTATTACATAGGACAGCTGCTTCAACTGCGGCTATTTGTCATAGTAATTTATCTTATATCTCCATGGAGATCACTATAAGTGATGATGCAGCAGTTAGAGTTGCTCATATTTTATAAGGATTTTGAGAGAATTTGTATATTGGATACTAAATTACTCACGGCACAATGACAGAAATAAAATCATTCATTGCCCATGTTGAAATTAGAGCCTGTAAAGTTGAACTTCACTTCTATAACTGAATTATAAATAAATCTGTTATCGGCCATGGCTACACTTATAACCTGATATTCCTCATAGTATAGCAGCCTGAATTATAACTTAACCCTTGACCGCCCTTGCTAAATCTTGCTTCTTTTTATTCCTGAAGTTATTATGAATTGCAAGCCAATATTTCCCAGAAAGTTGGACAATTTGGGCCACAAATTAACTTCCAGGCCACCGCCGTGTGATACAAGCTAAACTCAGCAACTATCCTCTGAACCTACGCCCAGCCTCAGCAACTATCCTCTGAACCTACGCCCAGCCTCAGCAACTATCCTCTGAACCTACGCCCAGCCTTAGCAACTATCCTCTGAACCTACCCTCAGCCTCAACATGCCATAACTACACTCAACCTCAGAGCCAGAAGCTGCGCGCTGCCCTGGAGCACCGTAATCCAGATCACTTCTACGCTCTTAATTTTTAAATATAAAAAATCGATTTCAGGGCATTTAATTGAAATTAAATTATTAAGCAATAGCGCCATAAATTCACAGCCACCTCTCAATCATATCTAACTCCACAGGATGGAACGCATCTAGCCGAACCTACTCTTTATCCCCGCCTCCCCACCTTGTCGCAGCCAACGAGATTAGTTTGGTTCATTCACATTTAATTTGGGCGGAGATTCGGGGCAACGTGAGTATGTAAGGCTGGGTGAAGAACTAACTGCCTTGATTGACAGCGTTTAAGCTGGAGCTGTAATTTGCGACGCCATTGATACAAGCACTGCAAAGGAAGCACTTACTTATATAGAGAAAGGAATATGAAGTGAAGTGCATAGTTGGGCAAAGCAGGCTAACTTTACATTTGGGCATTTTCATTTTGATGGCCTCTCAACCTCTGACATTAAGGCCAGGCAAATGTTTTCCATCGATCGTGTCATCACGGCAGAAATGTCAATACTGAATATGAAGAATTTATATGTAAGCAATTAGGGTTATTGATGTGCACTTAACAAAATTTAGAAGCAGACCCGACTCTGAAACAGATACCGCCCAGGACTCGTGGGACGCGCAAATCAGCCGCTCATTTTAGCTGCTGCTCTGGGTTTAAAAGGCAGCCTCTGGGCAGTTGTAGGCTGTGTATGTATCGGCTTCGGCAAACCTTTTCATACCCTCAGGACACACTTTTTGTGCCATAAGGAAACACTTGTCATATTAACTGGGCACACTTGTCATACTCTCAGGACACACTTTTACGCCCAGCCTCAGCAACTATCCTCTGAACCTACGCCTAGTCTCAGCAACTATCCTCTGAACATACGCTCAGCCTCAGCATGCAACATGCACTCAACCTCAGGGCCAGACGCTGCGCGCTGCCCTGGAACGTCGTAATCCAGTTCACTTCTACGCTCTAAGCAATAGCGCCATAAATTCACAGCCTCCTGTTAATCATCTCCAACTCTGCAGGATGCAACACATCCGGCTGAACCCACTCATTACTCCCGCCCCTCCACCTTGTCGCAGCCAATGAGGTTAGTTTGGTTCGTACAGGTTTGATTTGTGTGAAAATTTGGGGCAACGTGAGTATAGGTAAGGCTGGGTGCAGAACTAACTGCGATGATTTAGAGCCCTTAAGGCTTTGATTGAGAACCGTGAGGCTACGAACAAGCTCGGCTCTTCCCTATGAGTTTCTTCACAAATTAGGCTGAACTTTACTCCACTCGTAATTGAGATGGCGATATGGATTTTTCAGTGGTTACCCAGCTATTTATTTATAAACGGTGGCCAGGAACATACAATATGTAAACTTTGTATTAAACGAGTAATAATGAGGAAAAATTTAAATAAACTTTGAATATTATTGTTCATCAAGTCTGCGACTTTTACACTTTTTTCGAGATATAGACGGGCTGTAATTTTTATTCTAAATTGAATGGTAGGTACACTCGACATTTCTTAATCAGGCTCCTTGTTGTAGATATTATTATTATGCCGACACGCGGAGGGAAAATCCCGCATACTAACTGCTCATAGGCAGGGGTTGTGGAAGATATGAGGGGAAAAAGACGTAAATTACTGAACTGTCAGTTCACGACGGGCGGCACTGTGAAGGCGAACTCAATGAAAGGCGAGGAATAATACGTGGCCAGTGGTCGGCCTAGTCCAATTAGTTATAGCCGACCGCTGGCCAGTTATCGGCCACCTGAAAGCGACCAGTTGCCGTGAAAAGGAGTCTGGCTAGGATATCATATCACAAAGAGTACAAACTCGAGGGTAGCGACAGGCCGAGCTTCGGGCAGATCAAGGTTTTCACACGATGGTCGCGAAAAACTCGCTCTCAAACTTCGCTGCATTCTGACTACCAGCCTTAAGCTGTGGCTGTAATTAGCGACGCCATTGATACAGGCACTTCATATAGGTTAATAGTCCCTCTACCCTTTAAAGTGCTCACTAATACATAGGCTAATATTCCCTCTAGGGTGTTTACTAATACATATAGGCTAATATTCTCTCCAGAGTATTTACTAATACATGGGCTAATATGCCCTTAGAGTGCTTACTAATACATAGGCTAATATTCTCTTAGAGAGAAAAGTATATGAAGTGAAGTGTAAAATTGGTCAAAAATGGCCTCTTACATGCACTCTCACATTTTATGGCATCTCAACCTCTAACATTTAGTCCAGGCAAATATCTTCCATCGATCGTGTCATCACGGCAGTAAAACAAGGCTAGACTTTGTAATTTTATTCAAGTGTTAGAAGAGCGAACAGTTGCCCCTTGAATGTATGCCTCACACAACGGCTAATTGTTCAGCAAACAGTCACACAAATAAATCATTGTAAATAGTAAGCATTGCCAAAACCGTGTTGATATCAGAATACGTAATTATTTGAATTAGTTGCATGGCAAAA